GTCCTCTGAGCTCCACACACGTGCCATGGCACATAATTGACCACACACTTACTTTAAAAGGGAAATTCAGGCGTTTGTGCTTACTATACCCCTTAGTCCTCTGTATCCTTAGGCAAAAACAATCCAGAACAAAGACCTGGCCCCCAGGGAACGATCTAGCAGAGGAGATATATGGGACTGGCCCCGAAGGCTTTATCAACTGCCACCTAATGGGCTTGGAGGACTTAGGGGCCGAAGGAGAGCAAAGAAAAGGAGGTTCGTAAACTGTGGGGTGGACACACCTTCGCAGGCGCTGGTCCAGGAGAAAGGGCAATAGGCTTTAGATACAAGGGAGGGCAGGTCTGAGCAGATCTGGCTGGCAAAGCATGAGCTGGGCAAGTAACCAAGCAGTGCACAGAGACGTCTCTGAGAAGTCGAAACGCAGTTTGGCGGGAGACAGCAAAAGTGGATCCTACTCAGCCAGCAAGCCTCAGCCTCGCAGGGTGGCCGCGCCCAGCACGCACTCTGGGCACCTGGAAACCACAGTTCCCAGGATGCCTTATTCCAACTTCCGGGACCGGGTGAGCGGAACTCCGGAAGTAGTCGAGAAAGCGGAGGCGCCGGAGTCGCATCGTCTGCTGGTGTCGCCTTTGGTTTGTCGCCGCCATGGGGAAGCGACAACACCAGAAGGACAAGATGTAAGTTGGGCAGCACCTTTCGTCTCAGCTCATCGCCATCCTGAAGGTCATCTCCTCCCGAAAGCCTCAGTTCGTGCAGGCGCGATATCGTCCCTCGCGCGGCCTCCGCCGCCACCGGACTAGTTCCCTTCTGGGGTTTGCCCCTACCTCCTCTCTTTCTGCCCCTGCCTGGGTTGTCTGCCCTGCGTAGACAGGCCCACTTCGTCCTAGCTCTCGCCTGTTAGCCTACACACGGGCGACGGTTTAAGACTAGCGGGCCATGCTCCATGTTCCTCTCCATTTTCTGCTCTTGTCTCTCGAAACTGGAATAGTCCTCACCCCAAAGTGCTTCCAAGGATGCCTTTCACTTCTGTATTGTCAAATCTAGTGAAGCCAGCCCTTAGTGGGATCTTAGATACGCTTTGTTTTTATCTGCGTCAATGACCTCTCTTTTCTCGTTCCTCTTTGCTGGACTTTCTTCCCTTGTCCTAGACTTCATGTGTATCCCCTTCATTTCTGGTTCTCAGTGGGTGACCTGGTCTAGTAGTGGATCTCTACTGCACTTAAGTCAACTCAGTAGCGCTCTCAGAATTAGTATGCCTGAAAGGGAACACTTGATAATTTTCACACCTTAAGCCTGCTCTATTCCCATCCTATCCCAGTGGTTACATAGTAAGTCCCTAATTTACCATACATAGACGGAAGACAATTCTCAGCCTTACACACCAGTAGAAACATGCACACGGCAATCAGAACTATGTTAGGTCATGTCTGGTTCCTGCTCAAAACTCTCCAGCGACTTCCCACCACACTTAGGGCAAATATAGAGTACTTTCTGTGACTCAGCCACTGCTCTTGCTTCTCTATCTGCTGCCACACACCTCATTACCTAGCCTTTTGGGGACACATTCAGCCTTTCCTGCCCCAGCCTCAGTAAGTGCTATCCTGTAAAAGGCTAGCCTAGCTCTTTCTCATTGTCAGATCTATAAATCCAGTTCGTCTCCTTATCTTTCTGTCTGTTGTGCTTATCGTTATGTGTCTGGCACTCTGAAGACGTTTCATGGACAGTTGTCAAGGGAGTGGCAGTTCTGTCATGAGATTTCTACAGCCTCTGTCCTTCCCATGAAGGGAACTAGTAACACTCTGTCTTCCTTAGGTACATCACCTGTGCTGAGTACACTCACTTCTATGGTGGCAGGAAGCCAGGTAAGGATGCTGGTGTTTCTGAGGAATGCATGTAGTGATCCGGAACAATGGATAAGAACCAGAGCACTGACATTACAGTGTATGACTGAACTGAGTACAGACTCCACAAAAGAGTACATATGCTCATCATAGTAGAGTATCCTTACCTCTTAGTGGAGTGTTTTAAAAAAAACATAATTTAAAATGGCTTTTTCTTTAGGAAGTGCTATAAACTTTTTCTTTAGAGGAGGAAAACAGGAATGATAGTACCCAAAGTTGCCAAGGCTGTAGAAAAAAGGGCATAGTCATATTTTTTTAAAATTTATTTTATGTGCATTGGTGTTTTGCCTGCATGTATGTCTGTGTGAGGGTGTCAGATCCCATGGAACTGGAGTTACAGACAGTTGTGAGCTGCCATGTGAGTGCTGGGAATTGAATCCAGGACCTCTGGAAGAACAGCCAGTGCTCTTAACCTCTGAGCCATCTCTCCAGCCCCTATATATATATATATATATATATATTTTTTTTTTTTTTTTTTTGGTTTTTTGAGACAGAGTTTCTCTGTGTAGCTTTTTCAGACTGTTCGGCCCCCTTTGAAGACCCTGCTTTTGAGCCTGCAGCCTTGTGCCTGCCAGGCAGATGCTTTACGACCGAGGTGTGTCTCCAGCCCAGGAATGTGTGTTTTTTTCTTCTGTCTCTAAATTTCAAAGTGCTGGAGATCAAATCCAGGGCCTTGCATATGCTAAGCAAATGCTCCACCACTGAGTATACCTGCAGTCACTCTTAAGTATTTTTTTGAAAAGTGTAGAATTTTATTGTTGTGTGTATGATGTAAGTGCAGGTGTAAGTATACTTTGGTACACATGTGGAAGTCAGAGGACAACTTTATGGACTTGGTTGTCTTGGAACCTGCTTGTGGGTTCCAGGAATTGAACTCAGGCAGTTAGGCTTACATGGCAAGAGCCTTTACCCACTGGGCCAGCTTGCTGGCCCTCTGACTTGTTTTGTTTTGTTTTGCTTTGTAGCTTAGGCTAACCTGTACCGTGTAGCCCAGGTAAACCTTTAACTTGACTCTTCTATGTCAGCTTCTTGAGTACTTGGATTACTTAGAGGCGTGGGAACCACTTGTGGTTCATGTTTTCCTTTTTTTTTCCTCCGGAGTTGAGGACTGAACCCAGGGCCTTGAGCTTGCTAAGCAAGTGCTCTACCACTGAGCTAAATCCCCACCCCCCATGTTTTCCTTTTTTTTTTTTTTTTTTTGGTTTTTCGAGACAGGGTTTCTCTGTGTAGCTTTGCGCCTTTCCTGGATCTCGCGCTGTAGACCAGGCTGGCCTCGAACACACAGAGACCCGCCTGCCTCTGCCTCCCGAGTGCTGGGATTAAAGGCGTGCGCCACCACCGCCCGGCTCATGTTTTCCTTTTTAAAGATTCACTTATTTTATGTTTATGAGTGTTATGTTTGCACGTACAAGTGCACCATGTTTGTGTCTGGTGTTCCTGGAGGCCAGAAGAGGCACCGAATCCTGGGAGCAGCTCAGTGATGCACCTAAGCATATAGCATATATAAGGCCCTGGGCTTGATGTCCAGCAACACACAACATGTGTACTTTTACCTCTTAAAACAACAGCAACAAAAAATTTAATCCATGGTAATGTAGTTTTAGTGATAGGTACACAGAGATGAAATATTTTCCAAATAAGTTTTCTTGTTTTTATTTTATTTAAACAGATATCACACAGACAAGTTTTCGCCGCTTACCTTTTGACCACTGTAGGTAAGACTTTTACAAGGCTTCTGTTTTCTTTTGATTGAGTATCATTTCTCCAAATGTGTGTGTGTTTTAAGATAGGGTCTTTCAACTCTATAGCTTGGGCTGGCCTTGAACTCCTAATTCTCCTGTTTCTACCTCCCAAGTATTAGAATTTACAGGCTACCTTACTTGCATCTGGAGTATTTTTGCACTGACTTTTGCATAGACAGCCGATCATCCTTGATCTGAAAAAAATCCAAAATTTAAAATATCCCCAAATCCACAACTTTTTGAAGCCTGAAACTCAGAAAGTTAGAATTTGGAGCATTTCAGTTTGGGGGGGCTCACCATGTACTGTGTGTGTGAACTTGACCCTTTGAGATGCATCCAGGGTTTTCTCTGTGCCTTTCTAGATAACGTGAGCTGGGAGAAAGTGGATCCAGCCATGAGGACAGTGCATGGGTATTTTCTGGTTATTGTGTCTGGGTTTACCAGTTTTGCTTTTTAGCTTTATTCTTACCTTATGAGTTTGAGTAGACCCTGTTGCTAAGCATATTTTATGTCTGAGAGGACAGGTGCCTCAAGAGTAGCATGTGCCCTGGTGTCCCATCAAGAACGTAGCACTGCTGAGTCGTGGCCCAGACGGCCTGACTCCACTGTGTCTGTAATGCTCTAGTTCTATTCTTGTTCCAGATTGTAAGTCATCGTAGCATCAGCAATAGTGACGATTCTGATAGGCCCTTTCCTTCCCTGGGGACTCAGGTACTGGTGGGAAGGGGAGAGTAGCCTAGATGCAAAGCTATCAAGTGTTGCTTGGGGCACAGTGGTGTCTGGACAGAGGGAATTCTGTGGAAGCATGTCTAGGACCCAGCCATCTCCACATACTGTTCCTCTAGGGTAAGGTGGGGAGGATGGGCTACTGTAAAGGTAGGGCAGTCTGGCATGCTTGGTGCCTTTCCTCCAAGTTCTAATTCTGAAGGTCTGGTGACCCAATTAGGGCCTGTCAGCCATTTGTCACAGTGCAGGGAGAAGGGGGGGGGGCTGCAGCATGGGAAGCAGAGGGGACAGACCACAGTGTCACAGTGCAGGGAGGGCGGGAGGGGGGCTGCAGCATGGAAGGGGACAGACCACAGTGTCACAGTGCAGGGAGAAGGGGGGGGGGGCTGCAGCATGGAAGGGGACAGACCACAGTGTCACAGTGCAGGGAGAAGGGGGGGGGGGCTGCAGCATGGGAAGCAGAGGGGACAGACCACAGTGTCACAGTGCAGGGAGGGCGGGAGGGGGGGCTGCAGCATGGAAGGGGACAGACCACAGTGTCACAGTGCAGGGAGAAGGGGGGGGGGGGCTGCAGCATGGAAGGGGACAGACCACAGTGCAGAAAGGCCTGGACATAGTTGTTTTATTCCAGAAGCGGGGCCTCCCTGCATCTGCTCCTCAGGAAGCCCAGTGCCATGCTAATGGAAATGCTAATGCTCAAGTAAGGTGTCCCAGGCAGAGATCCTTCCTCTGTCATTCCTCCCCTGTCAACCTTGTTGGAATGAATGTTATCTGGTTTAGATCGGTCTTTGAGAGAGCACTGCTTCCCCTCTTTGTTCTAGGTCCCTGACTCCACTCGTCCCTTTTAACCACAAAATCATTGTGTAGACCAGGCTGGCCTTGAACTCACAGAAATCCCCCTGCCTCTGCTGGGGTTAAAGGAGTGTGCCGCCACCACCCTGCCAAAGGTTTTTTGTTTTGTTTTTAAGATAGGGTCTATATGCTGTTCTGGTTTCTGGCGGACCTGGGATTCACTGTGTAGACCAGGCTGGCCTCTAACTCAGGAGGATCCACCGCTCTGCCTCCTGGGTGCTGGATTTCAAGGCGTGAGACCATCCCAGGAAAGAAAGGAAGCAGTGGCATGGGCTGTCCACCAGTGGGCAGCTCGTGTGGGAACGTTAGGGTAGTTGAGGCTGCTGTGGACCTTTCACTCCCGTGCTTCAGAAATTCCCAAGGACTCTGTTTTCCGTCAGTCATGTTCCCAGCACACAGCAGAGTGGTGTGGGCCCTGCAGACCACGGTAGCCTCATCAGACTACCGTGGGATGGGCGGGTGGCTCTTTGATGAAAGTTTGGTCTGCCTGCTCTCAAGGGTCTGGAGAGGGAACTCAGTCTTGCTTCCTCAAAGCCAGCACTGGGGGCCTCCTTTTGACTTGAATCTGACAACATGAAGTGGGCTTGAAAGAAGCTTGGCTGCTTCTGCACCAAGTGCTGAGGACCTGTTGGGATGATGCCTTATCCCTAGTGGTGTGGTGTGTCGGTGTGTCAGTGGCAGAGCATGCTTGGAACTGTTGGGAAGGCTGTAGGAACTACAGTGTGTGCCTAGTGTGCCCAGAAGCTGACCAGAGTCTGCCCTTTCCAGTCTCTCTCTGCAGCCTTTTGTCTACCCGGTCTGCACCCCTGAAGGTGTCGTCTTCGATTTGCTGTGAGTTTCCTCTTGCATTTTTACATTTCTTTTTATTTGTGGGGTGTGTGTGTGTGTGTGTGTGTGTGTGTGTGTATGTTTGTGCCCTAGTATGTGATGTTTGTATGTGCAGTTGTGTGTGTGTGTGCGTGCGCGCGTGTGCGCACGCCCTGGTATGTGGTGTTTGCATGTGCAGTTGTGTGTGTGTGTGTGTGTGTGTGTGCCCTAGTATGTAGTGTTTGTGTGTGTGCAGTTGTGTTCAGGTGCATGTGTGTGTGGAGGCCAGAGGTGGACCTCCGGGGTCTTTCTCTGTTGTTCTCTACCTTATGTTTTTGAGACAGGACCTTGTCAGTGAACTTGGGACTTGCTGTTTCACTCGACTGGGTGACCAGCAAGCCCCCAGGGTCTGCCCTGCTAAAGTTATAGACGTGTGCTGTCTTGCCTGGCTTTTACATGGGCCTTGTGCTTACACAGAAAGTTCTTTACCCACTGAGTTGTCCCCCAGCACCGGTTTTAATTTGATTTAACAAATACTGCAGATTGTTGACACCTATTAGAGAAGAGATGTTGAGTTTGTGGTTCCAAGCAGGGACAGTCTTGTCCCTAGAAACCTCATGAGGTGTAGGCGAGCCTCTTTAGGAATTGAACGGGACAGCCAGGTCTTCAGAGACATGGCAGAAGTGCTCTGTGACCTCTGGCAGGCAGTATTAGCTGGCAGATGCTGTTGCCACTACTTGGGATGGAGATGAGTCCTTCTACCCCATGTGTTAGTTCTTGATGTGGAACAGCGATGTGCTGGATAGTCTCTGCGTGATGAAAGCAGGGCTGTAATGAAGGTGCCTAGTTCCCAGCATTGTAGTCTGAAGCATTATGCCCTATTTTATGTTCCAACATATGTTATCTTTGTTTTATATTTCAAGTTTGTTTTTAGATTCTAAAATATTTTCTAAAATTTAGAAGAAATGTAAAATACTTGAATAGAACTTTTTTTTTTTTTTTTTTTTTTTTTTTTTTTTTTTTTTTTTTTTTTGGTTTTTCGAGACAGGGTTTCTCTGTGTAGCTTTGGAGCCTTTCCTGGAACTCGCTTTGGAGACCAGGCTGGCCTCGAACTCACAGAGATCCGCCTGGCTCTGCCTCCCGAGTGCTGGGATTAAAGGCGTGCGCCACCACCGCCCGGCTTGAATAGAACATTTTACCACAAAAAGAGCTCACTGTTCAGGATCATCACTATGAATGTTTATGCCTTCTGGGCCCTGTACACAGATTTTTTTGGGGTGGGGTTCTCACTGTCTTGCCCTGGCTGGCGTTGAATTCCTGGGCTCAAGTGATTTCCTGCCTTCCTCTCATAAGTAGCTGGGCTTACACAGTGGGTGGCCCACCACCATGTGTGGCTGCAAGTATAATTTTTGATGCTGACCTAGTATTTTGCTGTATAGACAGGCTAACATTTGTTTGCCCCTTGGCCTAGTTAAAGTTCTTTTTTATATGCAACTGCAGTCAAACTCCTGCAAATGCTAAGTGGAGCTCAGTGGGAAAGCACAGTCCATGCGCACAGGTGTGTCACTGAATGTATGGAAACACGTGTTCCACGCGTGCAGCCTGCCCTGCACTCGGCTGGAGCAGCCCTGAGGCTCGGGCGTTGTCACTGGCAGCACCTACTGGTGACACTTTTTTTAAGATTTATTTTTATTTTATGTGTGTGAATGTTCTGCCTGCATGTCTGTCTGTGCACCACATTTGTAGAGTACTTGTAGGAGCTGGGAGAGGACATTGGATTCTCTGGATCTGGAGTTACAGATAGTTGTTATTGCTGTGTCCTGTGGGTGCTGGGAGCTTGGGTCCTCTGCAAGAGCACCATGTGCCCTTAACTGCTGAGCCATCTCTCTAGCCCCCTAGTGACCCTTTCTGTTCTCTCCCATCAGGAACATTGTTCCTTGGCTTAAGAAGTATGGGACCAATCCCAGCAATGGAGAGGTAGGTGGCCATGCAGGTACTTGTTGCCATGGAGCTGTGCCCTGCCTTGACTTTGTCTTTGCAGTTTTCGTGTCCTCAGTGGGGAACTGTTCACGGGGCCTGGAATGACAGTCCTCGTTCCCTGTGCACACATGTGCATGGACAGTTGGCCCTCTGTTTGCAGATTCTGTGTTCTTGCATTTAATCAACCGTGCTCAAAAAGAAGTATTTGTGGAAAAATTTTATCTGTATTAATATCTGTACATATTTTCTTGTCATTGTTTCCCAAACAGTATCAGAAAATAATTACTTGTGTAGCATTTATATTATAATAGGTAGCAGTCAGTCTAGAAATGGTTTAAAGTTGGTGAGAGGGTACACATAGGTTCATTCAAATGCTACATCATTTGAGATTGGAGTATTTGTGGAGTCTTGGTACTAGTCTCCTGTGAATGTCCACCATTGTACATCTTTGTTTGCTTGAGACAGGGTCTTGTTCTGTAGCCCAGGCTGTCTTCTCACTCACAGGAGTCCTGTCTTAGCCTCCATGCCTGGGTGTCTATGCTTTCTCTTGAGTTTGATCAGAGTGGGTGGCTCATCTGTATCTTGCTTTGTGTGCTTTGCAAGGTGCTGGCGAGTCTCAAGGGTGTCAGTAGAGAAGGCACAGCCTTTTCTGTGAGACTGTCTGTCTTTTAGAAAGGATGGGTTTTTTACTTGTTAGTATACGTGCGAGTATGTAGGTATATCTGTGAGTGCACATGCTCTTGCACAGGGTCAGAGCACAGCTTGTGGGAGTCAGTTCCCACCGTGCAGGTTCTAGAGATCTAACTCAGTGTCAGGGTTGGTGGCAAGTGACTTCACCCACTGAGTCACCGTTGTTCTTGTGTCTGTTTTTGTGGCTGAGCCGTACTGAATCCTCTGTCATTTGCCATTCGCAGCAGAAGTGCAGAAATAGCCCCATGCACATTTTCTTGAGCACACAGGAGTATTCTAGGACTGTGGAGTCAGGAGAAGGTGCATTGTCAATTTCCATAGCTACTGGCCAACTGCCCTTCAAAACTGTTATACATTTTAAACTTCTAGCCACACTGTGCAGAAGAAAATGCTTCTTGACAATTCTGGGTATCATCAGGGTTCTTTTTGTTTTTGTTTTTTGAGATAGGGTTTCTCTGTGTTTCTCAGAGGCCTCCAACTCAGAGAGTGCTGGGATTAAAGGCGTGCACCACCACCTAGCAGTTTTTTTTGTTTTTTGTTTTTTTTTTTAAACGGGCAAAAAGAAAATCATGCTTGCCTTTAATCCTAACACTTAAGAAGCAGAGGCAGGTAGATTTCTGTAAGTTCAAGGCCAACCTGGTCTACAGAGTGAGTTCCAGGACAGCCAGGGCTACACAGAGAAACTCTGTCTAAAAAACAAAAACAAACAAAGAAAGTTGTATTCATATCACCCAACATGGGGATGGGGCAGACAGATCAGCTGTGTGTCACTGAAATGACCCAGAGAAGGGTGGTGAGGAAAGAGGGTGGCTAGGTGGCTGAGGAAGGCTCTTAGGAGCTGCTGTTATGCTCAGTCCTGAGGAGGAGACATGATAGCATTAAATGCCATATTGGGGAACCTTGACGGTCCTGGACTTAATCTGGTGGGTTGGAAGCCCAGGCAGGGTCATGACCTGACCTGTATTGAGGAGAGCTCTGGTTTTGTCAGGAAGGTACTCTTAGGAGCCTGTTGGCCCCGGGGAGATCAGCCAGGGATCATACATTTGTCTGGGTGAGAGGTGCTATGTGCACTTGGACCAGGCTGAAGGCAGAGGAAAGGAGGGACCTTAGAGACTGGGCCAGTGGGATGGTTAAGGTGTTGAGTCCTGTCCTTAGGGCAGTAGGGATCTCAGCAGTCACCTAGTACTGTGACGTCTTGGGGACTGGTCACAGTTCAGAGCTTCCTGAGTTGTCACTGTCCTGATCAGCAATAAAGGCCCGTGGAACCTGGTAATCAGTCAAGGCTCAGCATCTGATGCCAGGCCCTTTCCTTAGGTCTTGCCAGTGCGACCCCATCCTAACTTGGTTACCTCCTTGAAAGCCCTGTTTGAAATAAGGTTTCTGGGGCTTGTAAACTTTGGGGGAACATTTTTTTTTTCAAGCATCAGCTTGATACAGTACAAATTCTTATCTTAATAGTGAAATGTTTCATTGAGGCTTGCTCAGTGATTGAGTAAAACCAAAACTTATTATAAGCCACAGTCATCCTAGGGTCCCCCTGCTATGTAGCCTCCCTGGATCTGTGGGTTGTAGTCTGATTGTTCTTTGTTTTATATCTAGTATCTACTTATGAGTGAGTACATGCCATATTTGTCCTTCTGGGTTTGGGTTACCTCATTCAGGATGATTTTTTTCTAGTTCCATCCATTTGCCTGCAAATTTCATGCTGTCATTGTTTTTGTTTTTCTCTGCTGAGTAGTACTCCATTGTGTATATGTACCACATTTTCTTAATCCATTCTTCAGTTGACGGGCATCTAGATTGTTTCCAGGTTCTGGCTATTACAAATAGTGCTGCTATGAACATAGTTGAGCATGTATCTTTGTGGTATGAATAAGCGTTCCTTGGGTATATGCCCAAGAGTGGTATGGCTGGGTCTTGAGGTAGATCGATTCCCAATTTTCTGAGAAACCGCCATATTGATTTCCACAGTGGTTGTACAAGTTTGCACTCCCACCAACAGTGGAGGAGTGTGGGGGAACATTTTCAATCCAGATCTAGGGAACTGTCAATGTAGTTAGTCTGGTGACTCTGCCTTTCCTGTTAGAGCAGATGGTGTTGCTCCTCCACTTCTCTGCCTGGGACAGGAAATCCCTTGGCAAAGGAAACCCGTTGGGTTGGGGTGCAGCTCAGTAATAGAGCCCTTAGCTAGCTTGTGGAAGGCCTTGGCGTCCATTTTCTAGAATTCCCCTTCCCCCCAAAAAATCCACATATACAAAATCAAGCAAAACAAAATAAAGATCTTTAAGACACTAACCTACTGGGTGGCAGGAAGCTGGCTGCTGTCTTTCTGGCCCTGGTGACAGTCTGGAACTGGTGCAGGCCCAGGGGTTCTTCCCAGTGTAGATGGTGTGCTGCTGCCCGCTTTCCCTGTTGCTGAGGAGAGGGGGCTGTGATACACAGGTGTCTTAGACTGCTTCCAGAGCCTGTGCGCTTGCTCCTGGGCTGCTTGGGGTAGGAGCGTGGCCTTACCTCCCAAAGTCATCTGCTTTCCTTCCTTGGTGTTTCTCACTTGGAAATGTGACCAGCTTTTTCTGCTGACAGCCAGGAAGCCGGGGCCTTTTCCCGGGGCCCCATGCTGGGAGGATATCCTTTTCTGGTTTCCTTATTACGAGATCCCTGCTGCCGGCTGTGCTTGTGGTTGGTTGGTCTCTGCCTTCCTGAGGCTGTGACTACCTACAGGTGTCAAACTGGGCTCCCCGCTGCAGCCTGCCCTTTGCTGTCTTGTTAGCGTCCCTGTCGTCCCCTGGTATCTTGTCTACAGTTGTCGCCGTGACTTCAGCCTCTGTCCTGGTGGACACTGTTACTCAGCTACACTTGGGTGCTTTTGGTATTTTTGCATTCCGTGTTACAGATGCTCTTGGGGTATCAAATCTTGTTAGTTGCTCTGTGCTCTGCAGCTGCCAAACTACATAGAGCAGTTACTTTGGACATGATCAGAAGCTGGGCCATCTCCTTTCTTCTTGGACTCCTAGAGGGTGTGTTCCGTTGTAGCGCTCCTAGTCTGCGGGCCAGTCCACTCCTTTTCTGCTGTGCCTCGGTCTTCAGCCGTGCTGAACACACACTCCACCACCGAGCTACATCACCAGTTTTTCCACCTTTAGTGTTTTGTTTCCTTTTAAAAAATATTTGTACCACACTGTAAGCAGAATGCCTGGGTACTCTGACTGGCTTTATTTGTTACATTTATTCATTTTGTGTATGTGTGTGCGTATGTGCATGTGGGCCTACGTATGTGTGTAAAGGTCAGGGTACAATTCGTGGGACTTATTTCTCTCCTTCCTCTATGTAGGTCCTGCTGGGCTCAGTGACAAGCACCTTGACCAGCTGAGGCATTTCTCTGGCTTCCCTACTAGTCTTAGGAATATTCATTTTGTTTTTGTTTTTATTTTATTTATTACCATTATTACTAGAGAGAGAGAATATGATGTGAGTGTTGCTGTGCCACACATGTGGCCAGAGGACAACATTCAGGAGTTTGTTCTTCCCTCTGCGGTGGTAAGCCATCTCGATGGCCCTGCACTCACACATTAAATGGTGTGCTTACCATAAATATGTTCAGAGTGGTGGTCCCGCATGCCTTTATTTAATCCCAGTGCTCGGGAGGCAGAGGCCAGCCTGGTTTTCAGAGTGAGTTCCAGGACAGGCTCCAAAGCTACTTGGAAACCCTGTCTCGGAAAACCAAAAAAACAAAAACAAAAACAAACAAACAAGATGTTCAGACAAGGTGCTGGAGAGGTGGCTCAGTGGTTAAGAGCACTGCCTGCTCTTCCAGAGGTCCTGAGTTCAATTCCCAGCACCCACATGGTGGCTCCCAACCATCTGTAAAGAGATCTGCTGCCCTCTTCTGGTGTGCAGGCATACATGCAGGCAGAAGAACACTGTGCATATAATAAATAAATAAATCTTAAAAAAAAAAAAAGATGTTCAGACAAGGCCTGGATATGGAGCTCAGTGGTAGAGCACACACTTAGCATATATGAGGTCCTCAGTTTGGTACCTGGCACCAAAAAGAAAAGTTCAGACATTGTGGAAATACACACCAGTCTTTATTCCACAGCCTCATCATTTATCCGAATGACTGCCTCTTACATTTGTTGGATTTAGTGGTTTACAAATCTGGGATCTGCTTACAGCCTGGGTTTACAGATTACATCCGTGCAAGTACGAAGGCTTGCCGTTCTACAGCCTGCAGGAGTCCTGACTGTGTCTTGGAGTCTTCCCAGAGAGATTCCCTAGTGTGAGCAGAAGAGAGTCAGTTGGGCAGATCTTTCTGTCTGTCCCTGTTGCTCCCGATTTGACAGCCTTCATGTTATTTCTCCTCTTACTCGTTAATTATCTGTCTTCCAGAAACTTGATGGGAAGTCCCTGATCAAGCTGAACTTTGCGAAGAACAGTGAAGGTGAGAGTCCCTGTTGTAGGCTGTCCCAGACTCCCATCCCCTGCTCTCACCAACTTCCTGTCTACAGTCAGGCATCCTTCCCTTCTCTTGTGGGGGGCTGAACCTGCCGCTTCACACATGCTAAACAAGGGATCTGCCCGAGTCACATCCCCAGCTTCATTCCTTCCTGACCCTTGCTTTTGATTTCCCAGGTGTCACATGACTTCTCAAAGGTTCAGGTAGTTTAAGTAGGGATAGGTGGCTCCCACAAAGGTGTTAGGCTGCTGTGAGCTGCTGGTGCCATCGATGGGCCTCGTGCCTGGGCCTGTTCTTGGCTCTAGGTGGAAGTTGCTCAGACTGAGGCCCAGGGTGGCCAGCCCAACCGGTTGTGGGTGTTTGGGAGGCATTTCCAGTCTGCTTTTGAGTAGACTGTCAGTTATCAACGCTCCTTCAGACCTCTGCCCCACTGGGGCCTTCTGCTCTGAGTCCCTCTGTGGTCTCTTGTTGCCGATGCAGACAATTCAGCTACAGTTTCAGCTGCCCTGCCCTGTCCTGGGGTCTGGTCTTGTTGGAGGGTCTTTGTGGTTTTGGCTAAGGGGTCTCCTTTCACTCTGATGTAAGGACCACAGTTGAGGCTGCTGTCAGTGCTCACGGGGGTGTGTTTTCCAGGGAAGTGTTGCAAGCATAGAGAAAATGGGCTTTCTTTCTTCATTGTCTGACCTACAGCAGCCCTGGGTTCATAGGTCATATGTGTCTGTTACAGAGCAGATCTTCCTGGATTATCTGCCTGGAAATGTGCAGAGAACAAGCAGGTGGGGTGAGGAGGTGTGTGTGTGTGTCCGTCCTTGAGTGAGAAGAGCTTTTGTTGGTGGGGGAGGAATCTAGGCAGGAGATGAGTAGGGCATCAGATGTCCTGGTTTAGACAGAAGTAGAGGAAGGAAGGGGCCAGCAGGATACCCACTGAGGGCAGTAGACAGGGTCTGAGAGGAAGCTGTATGAAGATATGGGAAGAACATTCTAGGCAGAGGGGTCAGGCATATCAAAGGCAGACATGTGCTCGAAGGTGTCCATGCATGGCAGGATGTCGAAACCGTGTGAATTCCTGATCCTTCTCCTCAGACTCGCAAGTGCTGGGATTTTAGGCACATACTACCTTGACCAAGTCTACTTTGGTGTGATTTGAAATTTCAGACCCATGAAAATAGAGATCATTAGTGGGACATTTCCACCCCTGCCACTCAGCAGCCCTGGCTCCTTACAGCCTGCTGGGTTTATCTGGGCTTCCACATGGCAGTCCCAGGGTGGTGCCTGAGGCAGATCCCAGACATGGTATCATTTCCCACTTCATCATTTTGCTATGTAGCTCTGAAAAAGAAAGACTTAGGGCTCGGTGAGGTGGCTCAGAGGGTAAAGGCACTTGCTGCCGAGGCTGACAACCCGAGTTCCAGCTGCAGGGTTTATGATGGAAGGAGAAAACTGACTTCTCGAAGTCATTCTTTGACTGTCACACTTGCAGTGTGACATGTGCACACCCCGTCCCCTCCCCCAGACACAAAGTTAATGAATAAAAATACAATGCAGAGCTGGTGGTTGCATGGTCCCAACCCTCAGGAGGCAGAGGCAGGTGGATCTCTTGAGTTCAAGGCCAGCCTGGTCTACAGAGCGAGTTCCCAGGAAGCCAGGGCTACACAGAGAAAGCCTGTCTAGAAAAATCAAAACAAACAAACTCCAAAAGTTAAAAGATAATGACTTACATCTTCATAATGGTATTATGATGCTTAGGAATTGCCTGGTTGTCAAATATACACACGGTGGTTAAATTTCCATTTTGTGTGTGTGTGTGTGTGTGTGTGTGTGTGTGTGTGTGTGTGTGTGTGTGTGATTTCTTTTTAGAAGTCAGTTTATCCAGATGTGGGGACGGACATGTCTGTTTGTCCTCTCCTCCACCCCCATGCATCTGCTGGGACTCACTAGACAAGCCCCTGTTGGAGAGCTAGGTGAGGAAGGCCAGGAGATAAAGGGAAGGGTGGGTACTGTGGGTCTGAGGTAGAAAGCAGTGGTAACAGGGTCTCTAGAAAGTAAGCCATGTCCTGTGTGGCATGGCTGTAAGGGAAGGTGGGTCAGCTGAGCCAGTCTGGAGGCTAACAGACTGCTCTAGTAAAGGAGAGCGAGGGCTGGTTCTTGTGATATGAGTAGAAATTGTGAACTGTGGGACGGAGCTTGGGTGGCTGTCATCGCTTTGGTTCCCAGGTCTTGGTAGCTGGCCTTAAAGTTCTGCCTCCTTCCCTTCTCCGACCCTTCTGGTGTCCCCCACCCCAGGGTTTCTCTGGGTAGCCTTAGCTGTCCTGGATCTTGCTCTGTCGATCATGCTGGCCTTGAACTCAGAGATCCATCTGCCTCTGCCTCCCAAGTGCTAGGATTAAAGGTGTGTGCCACCACCACCACCACCACCACCGCCCGTCCTTCCCTCTCACTTATCTCCCTCCCCTCCTCCCTCCCCTCCTCTCTCTCTCTTGTGGTACTGGGGTTGAATGCAGAAGTTAGCACATGCTAGACAAATGCACGCCACTGAGCCTCCTTTTTAAAAGTTTACTTTGAGACAAAAGTCTTTCTTTAAATAACTTATTTATTTTGTGTGCATTGGTGTTTTGCCTTGCATGTGTGTCTGTGTGAGGGGGTCAGGTCTTAAGAGTTACAGACAGTTGTGAGCCGCCATGTGGTGCTGGGACTTGAACCCGGGGCCTCTGGAAGAGCAGTCAGTGCTCTTAACCACAGAGCCATCTCTCCATCCGAGACCCTGAGACTTGTTAAATTGTCCAGCTGGCCTTGTGCTCTATTCTTCTGCCTCAGCCTCCTGAGTAGCTGGGGCTATAAATAAATAGTATCACGATTGCTTAATCAGAGCTCTTGAGGGCCATTAGCCCTGTGTGTGCTTGCTTTCTAGGGCAGTACCACTGTCCAGTGCTGTACTCCGTGTTCACTGACAACACCCATATTGTGGCCATCAGGACAACTGGCAATGTCTACACCTATGAGGTAGGCCCCATTGTAGTGAGTGGGACTGTTCAATGTGGGGCCTTAAAATGTGCTTTGGAGCCGGGCGGTGGTGGCGCACGCCTTTAATCCTAGCACTCGGGAGGCAGAGCCAGGCAGATCTCTGTGAGTTCGAGGCCAGCCTGGTCTCCAAAGCGAGTTCCAGGAAAGGCGCAAAGCTACACAGAGAAACCCTGTCTCGAAAAACCAAAAAAAAAAAAAAAAAAAAAAAAAAATGTGCTTTGGGGATAGTCCAAAAGCCTGGCTGAGTGCTGGAGGTGAACCAGGAACAGGGAGCGTGCCTGTCTCCTGTCTCCATGGGCTTTATAGCCTCCAGCACAAGGCATCATATCTGGTTAGGTAGCCACCTTGCTTTATGAGGCTTTAAAATAAAGATCTGGTGACTTCAGCTGGGTGGTGGTGGCACACACCTTTAATCCCAGCACTCGGGAGGCAGAGGCAGGTGGATCTCTGTGAGTTTGAGGCCGGCCTGGTCTACAGAGTGAGTTCCAGGACAGCCAGAGCTACACAGAGAAACCCTGTCTCGAAAAAATGCAAACACAAAAACAGGTGACTCTGGTGGCCTTTGGACCCTGAAACCCAGGCAGGCAGTTTGAGCTGCCCCAGCAAGGGTTCCTTGTATCTCAGGGAGTCTTCCCATGGACCAGACTCTGGGAGGAACCTGGGAGAAAAGGGGAGGCCGGGCTCTTAGGAAGGAGGAGTTGCCATGTTGGTGGGAGGGACATGAGCTCTCTCCCTGCTCAGACTAGGACAAGGAGCAGTCTGTGGCATGGGAGAGCCCATGTTAGACCTCTTGCCTGAAGCAGCCAGGTTGGTTTAGCTAGTCTCTGCCAGGAAGGTAAGAGCATCTGAGACTGTGCACCCCAGGGTGGCCCTCTGTGTGCTGGTTTACCTTACCTCTGTGCCACGGCCTAAAGGGATTGTGACACCTCTGTCCTGCTACAGGCAGTGGAGCAGCTAAACATCAAGGCCAAGAACTTGAGGGACCTGTTGACTGATGAGCCCTTTTCCAGGCAAGACATCATCACCCTGCAGGTAAGTAGCTTCACGGGGAGAGCTTCACTTTGACCTCAGCTCTGCTGTCTGTCTTCCAGCTCTCCTCTCCAGTCTTGGTGGTCTTCTGTACCATAGCATCCCTGGCCACTACTCCCCCGTTAGTGCCATACCTTTCCCCGACAGCCACCGTGGACTTGACTGCCTTCTGGCTCTCATGGCTCTGTGACACGGGGCTCCATCTGCCCCACAGCATCACAAGCACCAGGACATGGGCTGCTCTGCAGATTCTGCCCCACTTCTCCAAGAGTAGCATCAGGCACAGGTGTCCCCTTCGGTGCTGGGGGATTGGTGAGAACTGACAGAAAGTGGGGTTCCTGGCTGGAGCGTAGGCTTAAAGGACTGTGTGGCTTGTTCCTGATTGAACCTTGGCCCATGGCGGCCCAGTCTGCATCTTGTGCTACCTGGCAGCAACTCTTGCTGCTGCTTTTTGTGCTCTAGAGGCGGGGAACACGGCTGGATGGGCTGCTGGGCAGCCTGTTCCCGCACTACACCACCTCTGCGACTGTTGCCCTCCTTCCCTGCTTCACTCCCTCATCCTCACACAAACCAGCTACAGTCTCTTCCCCTGCAGCACCTGTCACAGTCCTGGTGCTCCTCCTGAGTGTTCTCTTCCTGTCACAGGACCCCACCAATCTGGACAAATTCAATGTTTCCAACTTCTTCCATGTGAAGAATAACATGAAAGTCATAGATCCAGGTATGGACAACTAAGGGCTGCTGGGATAGAGTGTAAGTGTGCTTCTCGGCGAGCCCTTCCTTCCGGGTGGTTCAGACCCTGGCTCCGGAGTGACTTTGGATGAACTAGGCTTCAGATTTCTTTATTTTGGGAAGCGCTGGTTGTCCTGAAATTTGCTGAGTAGATGAGGTTGGCCTCAAATTGGCAGCGTCTCCTGCTTCTGCCTTTTCAGTGCTGGGGTACAGGCATGCCCCATCATGTCTGTCAGGCTCAGGCGGTCAGGGAAGCGGCTGACTGGAGTCTTGGACATGCCGGGACACCTCACGTTCCCTTCCTCAGCTCTGGTGGCCCTGTGGTTTTTAGATTCCTTTGGCTCCTGCTCTTCCCAGGGCACAGTGATAGAGGGGCTGCAGGTGAGACTCTGGGTGACATCAGACCTTTCTAGGGTACAGTTAGACTGGGCCCTTGGTCCTCTTGCTTCCTGTGTTTGGCCCATGCCGTTGAGCACGTGATAACATACTATGGAGTGGCTGGAGTTTCTGAGCTCACTTGTTCCATACCAAGGAACCAGCTAGACTCATGCCCAGAGCTTAGTTGGCCCACCTCAGCAGGAAGCAGTATTCTGACGCTCATAGCGAACACTGTGGACCAGTCAAGACGTAGGAAGGTAGAACAACTCAGGGATAACTGAGCTCAGGAGACCCAGAGCCAGGCGTAGGGATGCTCACTGCCCAGGAAGTCAACAGCCTTTGGTCTAGCAGGCAACATGTGGCATAGATGGGGCATTTCATATATGAAACACCCCAAACTTCCTTCCCATGAAATAAGCACACACCTTTAATCCCAGCACTCAGGAGGCAAGGGCAGGTGGATCTTTGAGTTGAGGCCAGCCTGGTCTATGGAAGTGAGTTCCAGGACAGCCAGGGCTATACAGAGAAAAACCAAGGAAAAAAAAGCAGCACTTTTAAAACCACAAAAGCAAAACATTGTGAAAAGGTTGCAGTATACAGGTTAATATAGAACAGTGACACTTAAGTGCGAAGCATCCTGAGACTCCATTGACGGATGAGGGAGACCCCGCTAGGCCTGGCCCCACGATGTGCTGTGTGAATTCCCACCTCGCTGCACCCAGAGTGCTGCTGCGAGGTGACCCAGGCGGTAGGCTATGGCTGTGCTATCCAGAGAAGCCTGTCTTAATCAGCCCGCCTGTGACTTCTGCTCACGTGGCCAGCTCCATCTCTCTTCCTGTTATGCTCATGTTGAGACTCTGGCTGCTCAGTGCCTGTACCCTGTTTTGTAGATGAGGAAAAGGCCAAACAGGACCCATCTTACTATTTGAAAAATACGAATGCCGAGACCCGAGAGACACTACAGGAGCTCTACAAGGAGTTCAAGGGAGATGAGATTTTAGCAGCCACCATGAAGGCACCTGAGAAGAGGAAGGTGGACCAGCTGAATGCCGTGAGTGGGTTGCTCTGGCTCTGCCTCTGACCAGTGGGAAGATCCTGGGGAAAGTGCAGACAGGGATGCACCTGGAGGTGTGGTGGCTAGGACCCTCCCAGTACTGTGGGGCCTCCAGGGCTGTTGAGGTGACTGGGCTCCAAACAGAGCCAAAGGGAGTAACACTCTTGGGGCGGAAGGATGGTTGACAAGCTGGGGTCCCATGGCAGCAGTGGATCAGCAGAAGTAGAGCTGCCTTGTGCTGTGGGCCCTGACCCAGCCTCAGTGCCAAGCCCCTGCTGTCCCTGGCATTCCAGAGGCAGCTTCTACATTTCAGGACAGAGATGGAAGGGCTTGCAGGTCTGTGATGGCAGCGGGGACTGGGGCTGCCAGGGCTACCGAGGTCTTAGACTTTGCCTAGGCCTTAGCTGGGGTGTGGGTGCTTGGCTGCCCAAGGTCCTATCTGCAGTTATGGTGCTGGAATTTCTCCAGCACACTTAGCTGATAGGTGCTGTCTTTCTTTCCTAGAAAGCTTCAGCCATGGAAAAGGCAGAGGTGGGGTCTCCCATATAGGGAGTTATCCAGGGAAATTTGGAAAATTAGATAGAGTTCATTGTCTGTAATTCCTACTTGAACACAGACACTGCTGGCATGCTGAGCAGTCCTCATTCCCTCCTCTGAATGATGAAGAAATACATTTAAAGAGATCATGTGTTTCCTGGAAAAAGATAGAACTGGGTTAGAGAGGTGGGTCAGTGGTTAAAACACTTGTCCTTGTTGAGAACCAGGTTTGGTTCCCAGCACCTACATGGCAGCTCACAACCATCCAGGGGCTCAGACTCCCTCTTCTGACCACTGAGGGCACCAGGCATGCACAGGGGTGGGGTGTGTGTGTGTGTGTGTGTGTGTGTGTGTGTGTGTGTGTGTGCGCGCGCGCACGCGCACGCGCTTGGGCAGATACACATGCAGCAGGCAGAGCCCTCGTACAGAGTCATGACTTAGTATTGTTAGTCTTGACTTACTGTTGTTGGTTTCGACCTGTTTGAGGCCTTGGGCTCTGATTTCCTCAAGCAGGCCTTTAATTGTTCTCTTGGTACCAGTAATCTTGTACTCTGGTCTTTGCCGGCTCTCCGTCTGGGCTCTCTCCCTGTGCCTGTGGGTGGTGGTTAGAGGCTGAGGAGAGGTGATGCAGTCTGAGCACATGGTTTTCTTGTAGGCCCACTATTCCACAGGAAAGGTCAGTGCGTCCTTCACCTCCACTGCCATGGTGCCTGAGACCACGCATGAAGCAGGTAGCTGTCTCTATGTCCCGTTCACTGGGACAGAACTCACATTGGGAGCAAGTAGGGCATCCTGCTTACTTGCTTCAGCATCCCCATGTGCCTTTCCTTGAGTCTCTGGTGGCTGGTGGTTGAGGGGTGCTCCTTGGAAGGTGCGCTGTGTTGAGTCAGGAGGCATTCATTCTCACGGATGGTCTCGGCCCTTGTCTTGGAGTGCCCTGCTCTCAGGCCCCTAGAGCCTCCGGCATCGTTGTCCTTGAATGATCTCCCTTAGCCTCTGGCTCCTGCACTCTTCTCAGAGCTGGGGTGGGCCTGAATGGAGGAGCTACCTCAGCTACAGGGCAGGTGCCGAGCTCAGGACTTGTTTGCAGCTGTCATTGATGAAGATGTGCTGCGCTACCAGTTTGTGAAGAAGAAGGGTTATGTGAGGCTACATACCAACAAGGGTGACCTTAACCTAGAGCTGCACTGTGACCTGGTGAGTATGTGGCTGTTCCCAGGTGGTTTCTGGGGGATTTGAGTAGCCATGTCTTAAATGTGGGGCTGTAGTTTACTTCTAAGAAATCCTGCTTGATTGCAACTCAGAACCAAAGTGCCCTGGCTTTGTTCCCTGGAGTTCTAGCAACATAGCCTGCCTCTCTGGCTCCCCGCTAGGTGTGTGTGCAAGTCGGAGGAACACGCCATGGCTCCCCTGGATAGGTGTGTGTGCAAGTCGTAGGGACAGGCCATGGCTCCCCTGGATAGGTGTGTGTGCAAGTCGAAGGAACACGCCATGGCTCCCCTGGATAGGTGTGTGTGCAAGTCGTAGGGACAGGCCATGGCTCCCCTGGATAGGTGTGTGTGCAAGTCGTAGGGACAGGCCATGGCTCCCCTCGATAGGTGTGTGTGCAAGTCCTAGGAACAGGCCATGGCTCCCCTCGATAGGTGTGTGTGCAAGTCCTAGGAACAGGCCATGGCTCCCCTCGATAGGTGTGTGTACAAGTCCTAGGAACAGGCCATGGCTCCCCTCGATAGGTGTGTGTGCAAGTCCTAGGAACAGGCCATGGCTCCCCTGGCTTCTGCCATGTGTCATGGCTGCAGGACTCTGTTGCTTACTTAGCTTTGGGGGTCAGACTGAACCAAGGTCTGCAGACAAGTAGCTCCCTGTTGTGACTAAAGGCCTACATGTCTTTTGTGACTCTGCTGTTGACCACTGTGCCTCATAGAATATTGGGATATTTTGCAGACCCCAAAAACCTGTGAAAACTTCATCAAGCTCTGCAAGAAACAGTATTATGACGGTACCATCTTTCACAGGTCCATCAGGAACTTTGTGGTGAGTGGTACATGTTGCTGCTGGCTATAGATGCTTGATGACATGGGCAGCATCCATGAACCAAATGGGCTTGTACCTGCCCTGTCCCAGACACCTGGTTTAGGCTATGTGTGACAAGGGTAGGGTCTTCAGGTGTATCTTGTGCCAGGGATCCTGTAGCTGGCTCTTGAGTGCTCGCCCAGAAAGACCTGGGGTCAGAAAGGAGGTCCCTGTCCTCACTGTAGCACATGCCATTGGGAAGCCTGTCTAGTTAGTAGGTAGGGTGAGCAGTGGGTGATGGGCAGCATCAGAGCCAGTGCCTCACTGGGTTTTGTTTTTACAGATCCAGGGCGGTGACCCCACAGGTACAGGCACAGGTAGGTGCCAGGCCTGTTCCATTGGAGTAATGCATGTAGCTGTACTATGGGGCCTAGTGGAAGCTGGGTCTGAAGAGCTCTGGATGTGGAGTCTCAGACTTTGGGGTGCGGGTGGCTTGCAACTCAGTGTCTGGCCTTCTGGGCCACCTTGGGCATGCCCCTTAGTTTTCCCACGGTGAGGGTCCTACCATCCATAGCAAGCCAGAGGAAAGTGTGAGGTCCTCAGAACCCACCTGCTCGTTGACAGGAGGGTTGCCCATGCCCTCCCGTCATATAATAAGGTGGCCCCATGGCTCCTACAGGGTGTAATAACCTTTTCCCCAAGCTTTCAGCTCCGTGGGCCAACTATGACTTCCACCCATGTGTTTGAATGATTCCTTGTAGCTTTGGCCCTGTCCCCAGCCCACAAGGGGGTGAGTAGTCTCAGCCCACAAGGGGGTGAGTAGTCCCAGCTTGATGAAGGCACTAGGATCTAGGGTTCTCAAGAAGGGTGCCTCAGGGCCAGGGCGCGCTCTGATGCTCCTCGACTAGGCTCTGTGGCTGACCACTGACTGCTCTTGTGTTCCAGGTGGAGAGTCCTGCTGGGGCAAGCCTTTCAAAGATGAGTTCCGCCCCAACCTTTCACACACAGGCCGTGGGGTGCTCAGCATGGCCAACTCGGGGCCCAACACCAACAAGTCTCAGTTGTGAGTCCAGGTCCCGCTGTTCTTGCTTGGCTGCTGGGGTGGTTTTCAAAGCTCCTGGAGTTCTCCCTAAAAGTTGTGGTGGGCCCAAGTCAAATCCAAGTATGGTAGTGCACAGCCAGATGGAGCACAGGCCTCTCCAGGAAAGGAGCCCAAATCAGCTGGTAGAATAGCATTCCGAGTTCCAGGGAGTGGGCATGAGTAGGTCCCCAAAGGCCTCTTGGGATGCACCAGGCAGAACCAGGAGTGTATAGGTGCCGGGTGCCATGCAAGGTCCAGTGCTTTGGGACCGGTGGTCGGGGAGAGGTGCTGATGTCTGAGGCAATGTGTGTGGTGGTAGGTGGGAAGGCTCTTGGGTGTCTGGTTTTGTGTTTTGGAATAGGTGTGTATTGTATTCTATTCTTCATCTAAGAATATGTCTTTCTCTTTTCTTTTTTGTGCTGGGGTGTGAACCTAAGGCTTTGTGCATGCTAAATACATACATGCTATACCATTGAGAACTGTCTCCAGCCTGGCTATATCTTTTATCTTTGAGTATAGTTTTGTTATTTTCTTTTTTAAAAAATTTATTTTGAGACAGGGTCTCATTATGTAGTCCTGGCTCTTGTGGAACTCATTATGTAGACCAGGCTGGCTTTAAACTCACTGGGTTCTGCCTGCCTCTATATCCTGAGTGCTGTGTTTGAAAACATGCACCATCACAGTGGGCTACAGCTGATTCTATGTGAGGGTGTTCGTGCCACATTCTGCATGTGGAGGTCAGAGGACAACTTTGTGGGGTCAGTACTGTCCTTCTACCTTGATGTGAACTCCACCGGTTGCATCCAGGTTGCCAGGGTCACACAGCAGGTGTCTCCACATGCTGAGCTAGTTTGTCAACTCAGTTCCATCATTTTCTGGACAATGCTTATCCTAAGGAATGTTACTATTTGTGGGTTTTTGTTTTGTTTTTTCAAGACAGGGTTTCTCTGTGTAGCCCTGGCTGTCCTGTAACTAGCTCTGTAGACCAGGCTGGCCTCGAACTCACAGAGATCCACCTTCCTCTGTCTCCTGAGTGCTGGGATTAAAGGCTTCAGCCACCACTGCCAGCTTACATCGATACCAAGTTTCATTATGTAGCCCTGTTTGATTGTACTGGAACTCTGCCTGTGGAACAGGTGTGGGCCATCACACAGCTACAATCAAATTGTCTTTTTTAAAAATGTGCATTGGTGTCTTGCCTGCATGTATGTCTGTACCAGGGTGTTGGATCTCGAGTTACAGACAGTTGTGAGCTGCCATGTGGGTGCTGGGAATTGAACCTGGGTCCTCTGGAAGAGCAGTCAGTGTGCTTAACTGCTGAGCCATCTCTCCAGTCCCCTACAATCAAATCTTTAAAAAAAAAATTAAAAAAATTATGTGTATGGGTGTTTTGCCTGCATGTATGTTTGTATACTCATGTATGTTTATGCCTGATGCCGGAGGCCAGAAGAGGGGGTTGGTCCCTGGAACTGGAGTTACAGGTGGTTGTGAGTGTAAGTGCTAGGAATAGAACCCTGGTCCTGGAAGAGCAGCCAGGTCTTTTAATTGCTGGGTCATCTATCCAGCTCCTCACATAGTTTATAGGAGGAGTTTCTTTGTATTTGAGTTTATCAGAGAAAGAGACATCTCTCCACGTCACGTCACTGTCACCGTGGGTTGTTGGAGGTAGGCACATGGCTGCTCTCTGGATGAAGTGGGGCCTTGTAGTCTGCTAACATCTGTCACTGGGCTTGGATCTTAGGGTGGGTGGCCAAGTTGCCAGAGGTCTAGTTTTGAATGTCTGTCTCGGTGATCACATGGCTATCCTCTTGGTCATATGACTGACCTGTTGCTGTTGGGTGTGGATATGAGAGATGTGCACAGAAAATAATTTTACATTGTGTGCCAGCCAGACTTGTACCCTGACTACTTATGTTTGCTGGGCCCTCTTTCCAGGGCACATGACAGCTTTGTTTTGGCCAGCATTTCCTTAGTCTCAGAAACTTAAAACAAAAAACCTAAATATCCCTGTTGCATTTTTGTTTTCCCTGTTGCTGTTTTTCACTTCCCTCTTATTTTCTTCAGGTTTTTTTCCATTCTTTTTCTAGCTTCCTGTATTATGTTAGAAATTCATGAGAGCTAGGTGTGGTGGCACACACCTGTGAGGTGGAGGCAGCAGGAGCAGTTCAGTCATCCTGGTACCACAGCATAGCCGAATGACAAGGCTTAGACTGCATGGGTGTGGGCGTGATGTCTCCAAGACTTGCCTGGTGGCCTTGGAGTGCCCCTGCTTGCTGGGTGATACGTGTTCATTGCAGCTTGCAGATGCAGTCCTCTGTGGCTCACTCAGGGGTCTGTGTGTCCCGTTGTCACAGTGGGACCGAGTCCACCCCCACTTTGTGACCTCATGCCTCCTGCACTGCAGCCCACCCCGCATACTTTGTGCTTTCCATTGTGTTGATCTAGAGTAAGGCTCACGCTGTCTGATGCCTTCCAGCGTGCTGTCACCCGTTGACAGTCTGTAGCCCGGGGCGTCCTCCACACAGCACATACCTGGCCTGTTCCCTTCATCCTGGCTCTGCCTTCCCATGGATACTCGGATAGCTAGCTCAAGCCTCCGGTCTCTCCTGCTGGCTCTCATGGGATTTTGGCAGCCAAGCTCTGGGCTTTCTCCAGAGGTCTGGATTTACCTGGGAAAGGGCAGTTTCTCCTGAGGAGCAGTCATTACTAGAGCTAGAGCATGCTGGGAGGGCCAGCTGGCGCTTCCCTGACCTCCATGTGCCTTCCCCAGCTTCATCACGTTCCGCTCCTGCGCTTACCTGGATAAGAAGCACACCATCTTCGGACGGTAAGAGCAGGTGCTGTGCGTGCTCGCAGTGGGCCTTCACTGCCTTTTCCTAGACCTGGGTGTAACCCCACACTGTCCCCGCTGAGGACTCTGGGTATTCTGGGGGGGAAGGTTGGCTCCCCAGGCCTGTGGAGCCAAGGAGCCCTGGGCAGCTCTACCTCCTCTTCTCTCTCAGGGCACCTTCCACTTTCTCCTCGGCCCCGGGTCTGAGGGTCAGCAGACTTTCCCACAAAGGACACACAGCCTGTGCTGATGATTCAGTTGTAGAGTTATAGGGAAAAAGATCTAGGTACAAAGGATTATTAGTTCCTGGCCGGCCTCAGTTACTTGTGAGTTCGAGGCCAGCCTCGGTTATTTAGACCATGCCTTAGCAAACTGAGGGAAACAGCATATGGAAACAAGGACTTGACTCAGCAACCCTGGCTGGGTTTGCTTTGCTGCCCCCTTCTCTGCTGTGGCTCATCCTGTCCTGCCTGGTGACTAGTCTGGCCTCCTCTTGGCATGTCTCGACTTTGCCTTGAGGGTACTCTGCTCAGAGTACACGAAGACCCCCTCTGTCCCTCTGCTACAGGGTTGTTGGGGGTTTTGACACACTGACAGCTATGGAGAATGTGGAGAGTGACCCCAAAACTGACCGTCCTAAGGTGTGTACCTAGGGAGATGGAGGACCCTGCCTACTGGGTGCTGGCTGGGGGAGTCTGCTCCTGCTCACGGAGCCTTTCTGCCACCAGGAGGAAGTATGTATATGCACAACCACAGTGTTTGTGGACCCCTATGAGGAGGCGGATGCTCAGGTGAGGAAGGTGTCGGCAAGTCATGTTGTTGGTTGGACACACCCTGGTGCTCTGGATCAGCCCTGTCCTCCCTCCTAGCTGGGAGTGAGAAGACCCCACTCTGGGGCTCTGGATCAGACAGTTGTGTTACCCCCAGATTGCTCAGGAGCGGAAGAAGACACAGCAGCAAGTGGATCCAGAGGCCAAGGTCAAGATGAGCCAGCCCCCGCCTAGAAACCAGGGCCCCCAGACATACCGCCAGGGGGTTGGCAAGTACATCAACCCAGCAGCCACGTGAGTGTGCCTGATGGCTGGCATCTTTGGAAGCTGGGACCTCTTCATCGTGCTCCTAGGGGGTGACCAGGTGGTGGTTAAGAATTCCACAGACCAGACTGGAGACTACAGCTGAGAGGTCTAGACAAGGCCCCTGTGCAGGCCAGGGTGCTTCCATGGCTGGGGCTGTGGGAACAGCACTTTGTAGAGAGAGTGCTTCTAAAGTTCTCGAAAGCTGTCTGTGAATGGAGCTTCCTCAGAGGACTCGAGTGTGGGCACCTGGCTCTTTTGTGGCAACTGGAGTAGTTTTCTTTGTGTCTCAGGAAACGAGCAGCAGAGGAAGAACCATCAACCAGCACAGCTGTCCCCATGGCCAAGAAGAAGCCCAGCCGAGGCTTTGGGGACTTCAGCTCCTGGTAGCAGCAGGCTGGCTTCATGGATCCTGGTAGGGTGCAGGGCTGTGGGCTTCAGGGTCTGTCTCTGAGCTGTCTGCCCTTGTCAGTTTAGGCTGGGAGCCAATAAACCTCTTGCCTATGGCTGGGTCCAGTTTTGGCCCCTGGGACCCCTGGCTTCCCCATCCCTTAGCTGGTACCTATCTTGGGCTAGTGAGGAAGGCTGTGGCCTTTACCCCCACCCGATCCGTCTCTGCCTCAGGATGGCTGTGTGCTCACTCATCAGTTCCCTGGCTAGTGCCACCACCTAAATATTCTTTTAGAAATGCAGGTTCTCAAGGGGCCGCTATAATCCCAGCACTGAGAATACCAAGACAGGAGGGTTGAGTGTTCAAGGCTAACCTGGGCTACATTGGGAGACTGTCTCAAAAGAAATTTAGATAATGGAGATTGAGATTGGTTCTCAGACCCTGTTTGGATCCTGAGGTGGAGCTTGTACTCCGAGGCTATTTGGTGAGATCTCCTGGGCTTCCTTCCGTTAACACCACTTCCACAGGCACTTGCCCTGCCTTGCTCGGGACAGGCATGCTCATTGTCCTCTCTACTCAGTGGCTTTCTGCATCAGCCATACCTTGGTGAGCCTAATCAGTAGCTTGTGCTGTGATGACAGCGTGAGGTCCCCGTGAAGAGGAGACCTCCCTGCTGACTCCTCCTGACAGTCACCAACTCCTTGTTTTGTGTTTTTGAAACAGGGTCTATCTACGTACCCTTGGCTGTCCTGAAACTCTCTATGTAAGATCAAACTGGTCTTGAACTCAAGAGATCCACCTGCCTCTACCTCCCCAAGTGCTAAGATTAAAGGCATGTGCCAGGCCTGGCTTACCAATCCCATTTGATCCCAGGACAATTGTCTCTGTATCCTGAAAGGATCCTGCCATTGGCTCCTGTGTGTTCAGACAGCTCATACCATCTCTTCCTCATTGCTTTGCCTGCCATCTTGACCCGTGCTGGCTTCCAGCTTTCCCCAGCTGCCTCTACACAAGTGTGGGCAGACTGTCCCCTCCGGACAGTATCATGTCACTGTGTTCTCTTGATGCTCAGCCTGTCTAGGGCGCTCTTGTCCCTGGGTCACCACTCAGACTGTGTCACATTAAACTCTAACTTAGGCTTGCTGCTTGGTTTCCTCTTACCTTGCCCCAAACCTTGTATCCACACAATCTCAAAAAAAAAGGTAGAACAACCCAGAGCTGCAGAGTCAAGGGCTCTTCTGGACAGACAGAGCATGCCTAACTGTATTCTTTTTTTTTTTCTTTTTTTTTTTTTTTTTCTCGAGACAGAGTTTCTCTGTGTAGCTTTGCGCCTTTCCTGGATCTCGCTCTGTAGACCAGGCTGGCCTCGAACTCACAAAGATCCACCTGCCTCTGCCTCCCAAGTGCTGGGATTAAAGGCGTGCGCCACCACCGCCCGGCGCCTAACTGTATTCTTATACTTTTCTCAGGGCACACTTAGAAGCTCCCTACAAGGTGGTGTCAGAGAAGCATCAGCTCCCAGAAGCCAGGTCCTCAGGGCTCTGAAACCCTGACAGGTCCTCCGCTCCCAGTGGATGCTGCCGGAGACTGCTCATCCCTCCGAGAGGGCAAGAGCTCTGGAAAGCGTGCTGTGTGACAACAGCAGCTTTGTTCTGTCCCTCACACAGACATGCCACCAATGGCTGACAGCTTCGGCCAGGGAACAGGGAGGCTGAGAGTGCTCTGTGCTTGAGCGTGGTGCTCCTGCTGCTACTCACGATGAACTCCGAGTTGCTTCCAGGTCCAGTCAGCCTTACCCAGCAGTCTGCACTTGTCCCAAGGGGGCAGCTGCACCCTCTCCCACTCTTGTCTTCCAGGACAGAGGGTACAGCAGCCCACTAGGGCTTGGTACAGCCCACTAGGGCTTGATACAGCCCACTAGGGCTTGCATTTCCACGGGTTGTGCAGAGCTTAAATGGTAGCTTTTTAGACCGTAATGACACTTGGATTTTGAAAACTGCCTGATGAGGTCATCAGAAAATAAAGGACTTTTTTAAAGAAAAAAAAATCACTTTTCTGATCTTTTCAAATACTGGCAGATGCCATCAAGAATAAGCAGCATTAAGATATAAAAATACTATGTATATGCTAACAAGACAGCAACACAATCAATCGCATTTCCAAAGCAAAGTGGTGTTTATGACCTGGTATCACCTCCCACTGTTCTAAGAACACATTTCTAGAATAGTCACAGAGTGACACTGTTTTGAGATGTACGGAGGTGGGGTGGTTCAGTAGTTTACCAGCACATCTGGGTGTGGCCTTGCATCACTTCCCCTGAAGCCAGCTCATGGTCAGTTCTTTTGATTTAAAAATTTGTATTTCACAGTAGGCCAACACAAAATCCAAAAAACTCCATAAAAGTTTTGTTGGTATCCATTAACCGCCCCCAATACAAAACAAGTCATAAAGAGTACTAGCGAAAATTCCCAGTCAATGCTATCACAGAAGACAGTACAAAGTGCTCAGGTAGAAGGGCGGAAAGCTTGCCCGCAACATAAGACGCTGTAAATATAATCTTCGTATGTACAAAAACTGGTCACAGTTCTAGCTTCTTCAGTTTAAGGAAGCAGTGGTGACATCTGGTCTCCCAGGCCTCAGCTACTAAGTTCCCACTTGCCAGAGTATTGAAAACTAGCCAGGGTGCCTGCCCACTTTGAGCTGACTGTTGACTTGTGTTCATTCTGGACAAGGATGGAGTCTGGGCCATGCTAGATTTCACACATGGACTAGCTGCCTGTGCTGGGTTTCAGCAGTTACCTTACTGGGTGAAGTAACCGTGCTTTGGGTCAGCCTTAGTCTGGAGAGAACCAGGACATGTCAGGGAGAAAGCAGCTTCGGCCGGGACCAGGCAGAGGGTCACAGACTGTGCAAACATGTCTGCCATTGCCCAGATTGTATTACCAGGCTTCTGATCTTGGGCAAAAAGTTGACAACAAAATGAAGGCTTTGGAGTGAGCAGGGAGCTGGAGCAGCCGAATGAAGTGCCTGTGCTGGCCAGAGGAGCTGGGTTTACAAGGTTTGGGGCTGGGAGCCCAGAGGATAGAAGGTGCTCTTGAGCTAAGTACACTCCAGGCAGCAGCTAGGGCTGAGCGCTTTTTCCGGCATGCTGCCTTCCCAGCTTGTGGGCACTCAGCCTTCCCAGGCCTTCCTGCTCTTCTGCCCTGTGTTCGGTACAAAAAGTTCAAACGCAAAGCTTATCGGGGAATGGTTCTGTCCTCTGTCCTCTGCTAACTGGCCACTCCCTGTACAAGCGTGGAGGACTAGTGAGATGCAGATGGGGGGTAGCCCTGTCAGGTCATGAGGTGATCCGTCCCAGGCAGGAAAGGCAGCTCCCAAACTAAGAGAACTCTCCCTTTATCATGGGAAATCTCAGGTGCTGAAGTTTCCCATGCTGGCTCTGGCCTCCGTGTGCATAAGTAACTGTATTTCAAGTACATCCAGGGTATAAAGTGACCCAGCCTGCTGCTCTCTGCCAGGGACCAGCCCCACAGACAAGCTGCTGTGCTGTGCGCGCTGAGGGAGTCACCTCGGTGGCAGACTTCTGTAGGCCTGGGGACAGAATGCTTAGCCACTAGTCACTTGCTTTCTACATAAAGAAACGGGATGTAGCTATTAGCGCAAATAAAGCGCATGGAATGCTTTCTTCCTTGGCTTCTTTAAGATGTTACCAGTGACTGGTTTCAGTTTTGAAGCCATATGCTCTGCATACAAATGTTTTGACTACTTCTAGAAGATTCTTAAGTGGTCACTATGCCTTGCTTGTAAAAGAGACCCTGCTTCTGTGCTTTTAGGGACTTGGGTTTGGTGAAAACGCAGCGGACTATGTGGAAGGCGTGCAGTTATTAACTAGGCAGCTGAGTCATCCGTTGGGTAATTCTTTCTCTAGAACATAAGAAGTTAGGAAAAGAATGCAAACTTCTGGAAACAACAGTGTCCATGAAGGGGCTCATTTGGGGGCACCTTACCCAAGTGAACAGTCAAGAGAGAGGCCTTCAAGTGTTGAACTGGGCCGGCCTGGGCCTGTGAAGTCAAAGTTCAAGCAGTGTTGTCCCGGAAGCCAGGTCTTCCTCACACTCAGCTTTCATAAAACAGTACTCAGGAGTGGAGCGCTCCCTTTACTCCCAGCCATTGTCTTTGATCATGTGGGCAAGTTCAATAATAAACTTTCCTTCTTTGTATTTCTGACTGCTCTCAAAGGCATGCTCCTTGAGGGGGAAGGAGAGAGGAGGGTTCAGACACACTCTGTCTACTCTACTCCTGGTAAACAGTGGAGTTTGTAGCATTACCTCTACTCAGACATGCTCCGAGCTGTGCACTGACCCAGGCCCAGAAGGATCCATGGGTCAATACAGGATTTTGAATGGCTCATTACACTTATGAGCAATGTTAACTCAAATCTGTTTCCAGGCCTGGGGCTGTAGCTCGGTGTGTGCTGTTTGGCATGCCTGTGGCTCTGGCTCCATCCTCAGCACCACACACACACTGTTCACTAGGCATTGATTGTATGTGGGTATTTCAGGAGGCGTGAAGGAGAGTACTGGGAACAGTCAATCACACACAGGTGAGGCTGGGTTGTGTGCGTGTAGGCCAGAGGTTGGTGTGTTTTATTGACCTGTGCCACAGCATGGGTGTGGTCAGAGAGCAGAAGTTTGGAGTCTTCTCCTTCCATCATGGGTTCTGTGGATGAACTCAGGTCATCAGGTCTGTGCAGCAAATGCGTGCACCTGCTGAGCCGTCCTGCTAGCTCTGTATCTGATCTGACTGGTTTTATTTTTATATGTATGGGTGTATCCCTGGATGTCCTTTGCATTGTGCACATGCAGTTCCTGTGGAGGCCAGAAGAGGGCGCTGGATCCCCCTGGAACTTTGTGAGCTGTCTGCCCCACGTGGGTGCTGGGAATTGAACCTGGGCTCTCTAGAAGAGCAGCTACTGTTCTTAGCTGCTGAGCCCTGTGTCCCCAGTCCTCTCTTTGCTTTAGTTTTTTGAGACAAGACCTTTTTATTGAACCTGGGGCTCACTAATCCAGCTAGGCTGGCTCCTGTCTGTCTCTACACTGTGGGGTTATGGACATATGCTGCCCCACTTGCCTTTTACAAGTGAGACACTGATCTGAGCTTGTCCTCACGCCTGCATAGCAAGCGCTTCCGAGCCCAAGAGCAGGCCCGTCGGACCATGAATGCTCCCTTAGCATCTTACAGCATGTGGCTTGCTGAAGGGCTGGAGACACGTCTGGGATGAGTCCCAGCAGGTGCGACAATGTGACCAGCATGCTCACTACAAGGGAGGACAAAAGAGGGACTTGGAGACACAGGCCAACCAGGTGAGGGGCCTCCCAGAGCCTAATGCTTTGTGGGATTGTATCTGGTTCCTTCCAGTTCATGAGGAGTTTGGAAGACTCAAGAATTCAAGGAAAGAGTAAGCCACCATGACCTATGAGAATCCAGAAGTCAAAAGAAGGCACAAGGGCCGGGGGTGGGGGGGTGGGGGGTGGGAGGGTAGGTGGTGGCGCACGCCTTTAATCCCAGCACTCAGGAGGCAGAGGCAGGCGGATCTCTGTGAGTTCGAGGCCAGCCTGGGCTACAGAGTGAGTTCTAGGAAAGGCACAAAGCTACACAGAGAAACCCTGTCTTGAAAAAACAAAAACAAAAACAACAACAACAACAAAAAGGCACAAGGCTGGGAATATGGTTCAGTGGATAAATGCTTCCCACACAAGCATGAGGACTAAATCCCATGTAAAAGAGGTCAGATGTGGGAACTGCCTGAGTCACAGAGCTTGGGAGGCACAGAAACTGGAGACAGGTAGGTGGCAACCCCCACTCCAGGCCTCAGAAAGCAGGGTCTTGGGAGAAGAACCCGGGGACTGCCATGGCCCTGTGCTCCACAGTGGCACATGGTGTGCTCCAAGGAACCGCTGGGAGCTTGCACTATTTGAGACAGGATCTTGTATCCAGGAACTGATCCATGTGCCTCCACCTCCTGAGTGCCTGCCTGCTGCCCGTTTTCTGTTTTTGGTGTGTGTGTGTGTGTGTGTGTGTGTGTGTGTGTGTGTGTGTGTGTGTGCATGTGTGTGCTGTGGCACTCAAGTGGCAAGAGCTGGTTCTCTCTTCCCATCATGTGGACCCAGGGGTCAGACCCAGGCTGTCTATCAGGCTTGGCAGCAGGTGCTTCTACCCACTGAGCCATGGCTCCGTGACCAGTTTATGAAGTTCTGGGGATAGAAGGCCTTGTGCAGACCTTTGAAGCACTGCCACTGAGCTGTCCCCATGAGAACTTGCGGGGTTTGAATGATACTACCACCGCTCTCCAGGTCCAGGTACTTACGTATTTCCACCCGAGTGTAGTCTTGCAGTTCTCACAGTAGATGTCAGCCACTGCATGCAGCCCAGTTAGAAGGACTCTCTCCTCAGCAGGGCCGCAGCCCACATTCACCCTGTCAAGACACAGGGTGACTGTGCTGGAGGTCCCCTTGCCCAGTCCCCTTTCCCCTCCCCCACATCACTACGTGCACCAGAAACAGTTTCCGCATCACCACAGGTGTTTCAACTCTCCTACTCCCACTTTAACAAGAGGGAATTAATTTTTTTTCCTTTATGGTGTTCAGGATCAAACCTAGGGCCTCATACATGCTGCGCAAGCCCTCACTACTGCGCCATAGCCAGCCCACCAAGGGAATCCCAAAGGTCAGGCTTGGAGGCCAAACTCTCGGACACAACAACTGTGCTTTCCCAAACACAGATGCAGGAGGCTCAAGTCTTCCCAGCCGACCAAGGCCCACTGGTGCATCTCCGTTACCCAGTTACCCAGTTACCCTCCCCAGCTCTTAACAAGTGAGCAGGCCGAGACAGAGTCAGGCGCTAACGGCAGCACGTACTCACACGGAGTTGAAGAGGTAGGCTCGCCCCTGACTCCCCTGAAAGGACTGCAAAGAAGAAGAAGGTGTTAGGAGGGACTCGGGCAAGACACGGGAGCTCTGCTTTCGGGGATGTTGGAGGAGCGGGTGCAGACACCCCACAGCTGCGGTTCCCGAAGCCTGTGGGCCATGCATCTGCTGGGACAGGTGCAGAAGCACAAGGCAGACACTGCTTCCCAGTTTCAAAGGACAGATCCGCTCCAGACTTCAGAAAGCGGTCAGAGCATCCTTGTGCTTTGTCTGCACTATCTCCACAGCACACCACAGCTGGACGCTGGGACTACCTCAGCCCCAGTTGGAGGGACTTGGGAGGAATGCTTCAACTTGATCTCAAGATTGGCCTGGCTAACAGTTAAGAGAAGGTCATAGCCAATGGGCTTTAGCTGGCAGGGTCTGCAGGCGCCTGTGACTGCACTCAGGGGCTCCAGGGCAGGCCCCACAGATAAGCATGCTCTTTTCTCACCTCTGTGTGTCTGTGTATCTGAGTGTAAGGATGCGCAACCATGTGCATGAATGAGCCCTTGGAAGTCAGAAGAGGGTATCTGATCCCCTTGATTTGAAGTTGAAAGAAGTTGTGAGGCACCATGTTGGTGCTGAGAACCCAGTTCAGGCCCTCTGCAGAATAGTAAGCACTTTATTACTGCTGAGCCATCTCTCTAAGCCCTTCTTACCTCTCCTAAAGTAGTTCTGGAGCCTCACTATCTTCAGGTATTAGGAGATGAGGGGAAGTTTCTGTACTTTTTCAGTGACATTAAACAAACAAACAAAAAAAGTCATAGCCTGAGCTGAGCATACCTGTCTTTAATTCCAGCCCTCGGGAACAGAGGCAGGATGGCCACCATAGGTTTAAGGCCAACCTGGGCCACATTGTGAGTTCCAGGCCAGTCAGGGCTACATGGCTAGACCCTGTCTCAGAAAAACTGAAAACAAAGTCATATCCTGTGCCTGGTGTGGTGGCCTGTGCCTGTAGTTCGGCTATTTGGGAGGCTGAGCCATAGTATAGTGAAGCCCAGCACAGTGAAGTCCACCTCCAGTAGGGGAGGAGCTTAAGGGATGGTTCTGCTGTTAAGAGCACACACTGCTCTTACAGAGGACCTGAGCTGGGTTCCCAGCACCCACTTTGGGCTGCTCACAACCCTGCAACTCTAGCTCCAGGGGATCCAACACCTCTGACCTCTGAGGACACCTGCACCCAGGTGCACAATACTCCCACAGACACAGATTTAAATCTTGAAAGATGTTAAAAGCCAAGCATGGGGCTGGAGAGATGGTTCACCACTTATTGCTCTTGCAGAGGGCTGGGTTAGAATCCCAGCACCTATGGAGGCTCCCAACCATCTGTAACTCTAGTCCCAAGAGATTCAATGCCGTTTCTGACTCAGCGGACACCAGGCAAAACACTCATCCTTGTAATACCTTTAAAAATAAGCCTGGCAGTGGTGGTGCACACCTTTAATCCCAGCACTCAGAATGTCTACAGAGCTAGTTCTAGGACAGCTAGGGCTACACAAAGAAACCCTGTTTTGATTCCCCCACCAAAAAAATGTTGAGCATGCCTGCATGCTCCTGTAATGCTCAGTGCTGGGGGGAAGGAGACAGAGGGTCCCTGAGGCTTGCTGGATCTGAGAGCTCTAAGCTCGGGGAGAGACCCTGCCTCAAAAAATCAGGTAGCTCATGATGCTGGGCACCACACAAGCACTCTGCTACTGAGCTATGTCCCAGACCACCCAGATATGTTTTGATTTGAAAATACAGATTTCAGCCAGGCAGAGTCACCGGTGAATGTCTTTAATCCCACTTGGGAGAGCAGTAGGTGGATCTGAGTTCGAGGCCAGCCTGGTTGACAGAGTGAGTTCCAGGACAGCCAGAGCTATACAGAGAAAGAAAAAAAAAAAAAAAAACAGAAACAAACAAACAAAAAATGGAAATAAATAAAATACAGATTTCAGGCTTAAAAGGAGTATCCCCTGGAGTGGTTTTCTAGGACTAAGAATATTATTCATTTTCAGTTTAACCGTTTTACACACCCCTCAGCCTTACATTCTTCCTTTGCTTGCAGATTCTACAAGCCCTCCACGGCTTTTCCACAGGGCTTTCCTCAGTGATAGAGAAGTTTATGAAGGGCAGTGAGATGACTCAGGAGACAGTCACTGTCTCACAGGTCATCTGACGTGACAGCAAACATGAGCACGCCTGTGAGCTAACAGCGTAGACGGGCGAGCTGTGCTGGCCCACACCTCTAGTTCCAGCACTCGGGAGACAGGCAGGTGGATCTCTGATTTCGAGGCCAGTCTGGACTGCATAGTGAGACTATTATTTCTTAATGGGAGGCGCTTCTGTGAACCAGAGGGTTTTTTGTTAAGTGACAAATACGGACCCAGAGCCTGGTCAACTCTCGTGGAGGTGGTGCTAGTTTCCAACATTCTGGAACATGGCGTGTGCTCCTCAGTTTCACCAAGTCCTAAGCACAAAGACCACTCAGGAGTTTACCATGGCTGTCACTGTTGTTTGGATCCTGAACGTGCTGTTACTGGCAGTGAGGGAACCATCAGGAGGTCGAGACCAGTGGAAGGACATTAGGTTACTCTAGGTAAACCTAGGAGGCCACGGGGACACTGGTCTCTTCCTCTGCACACGTTCCTACCGTGGCGGGAGGGACACCTGGCCATGCATGGGAATCTCTGAAACCATAGACAAGTTTTTTCTTTATTGAGCTGATTTCCTCAGGTGTCTTGTTATAGGATGCAAAGCTAAGAGTCACCCTCACCGGCTCAGATGAAGGTGTCATACCTCTTGGAAGTCTCTGTACCTTTAAGAATTTTATTTGTGGCATCTTCTAACTTGAAATGTTTATCTGATACGATGGGTAAGTTTCAAATCACTCATTTTCTAGCACACTTCTGTTCTTCATGCAATTTTAAAACAGCTAATGTCAAAACCATTTCTCAAATTACTTTTGTGCCCCTTCCCATGATGGATATGCCTGGCATGCTGCAGAAAAATGGCCATACATGGTACCTGACTCTCAATACTGGCTCAAGTGACAGATCTTGGCAAACAGCAGTTGTCACAAGTCGCCAAAGCCCTGCTGTTCCCAACCAGTTCTACCTGTCATTACCTCATGGCTTTTTTTTCTTTTTGAGGTCTCACTCTGTAGACCAGGCTGGCTTCGAACTCACAGAGATCCTCTTGCCTCTGCCTCCCCAGTGCTGGGATTAAAGGTGTGTACAAGCCTTGTCTCATCGGTTTCGAATCCAGATCACTTGCCTTGGAGATGAGCTCATCATGGTTGGCCAGATGGGCTCTGCAGTGGATACAGCTGTACGTTCTGTGACAGTGCGGCAGGTAAGCTTGGAAAGTCTTGGACTTGGTCATTTTTACCATGTCTGCAGGGCGCTCGTCCCTCAGCTCCGGGCCAGCACTGGAGGAACTATGGCTCTGTCGGACTCTCTGACAGAAGAAACACTGGAAAATACACGCAAGAGCCGTCGCTGGTCTGGAGGGCGTGTGGTAGTGTCCACACACTGGGTCAAGAGAAAAACAGTGTGACCTGCAAACAAATTAGACAGGCTCTGGTTTGTATAACAGCAGCCGCCGCCGCGTGCGGAGGTGTGTTAGGCTCAGGTGATTTGAACAGGGAGCAGGCCCGAACTAAGGCGCTGCCCCGTTCTTCCCACCCTATTTTGTAGTGCTGGGGCCAGGGCTAGGGCCTTGTGCAGGGACAGCACAGGCTGGCCGCTGAGCTGTAGCCTCCACCCAAGACCGTTTTTTCTCAGGCAGGGTCTCATTCTGTAGCCCAGGCTGGTCTTAATCCTCCTGCCTGTCTCCTCTGAGAGCAAAGTCTTTTTTGTTTTGTTTTGTTTTTGTTTTTTTGTTTTTTTCAAGGCAAGGTTTCTCTGTGTAGCTTTGGAGCCTGTCCTGGATCTCCCTCTGTAGCCCAGGCTGGCCTCAAACTCACAGAGATCCTCCTGGCTCTGCCTCCCGAGTGCTGGGATTAAAGGCGTGCGCCACCACCGCCCAGTGAGAGCCAAGTCTTTACATGTACATCTAATGTTGTAAGCACATTATTTCAGAAACAAAGGCAAGCATGTTTGTACCTTTGCACAAGCTGGGTTGTTGGCTACAACATGCCAAGTAATCTGATTTTACTTGATAATACGGTCATTGCCAATTAAAGATTTTTTTATTCCAATCTTGGTGTATGTGCAGTGTATGCATGTGCATATGTTTGTGTATGTAGGTACATGTGCTGAGGATCAATATTTGTTTGATGTTCTCAACCATTCTCCATCTCATTTGAAAAAAAATTATCACTATTTGTGTGCAACTCAGGTTGTCCTGACTGTGTGGCAGGTGCTTTCATTTCCGACCCACCTTGGGGACTCGGGTTTGGCTGGCCCGGCCGCCCTGGGGATCCTTTCTCTGCCTCTCCAGGACAGGCATCTGCTGCCACATGCAGCATTACCTTTGTTTAGGGGTCTGAACCCAGGCCCTCATGCCTGTGCAGCAAGCCTCTCACAGTCCAGCCCCTCCCCAGCGCCTCCCATTCTGACCTTGTGTGTGCTCATGCTTGCACAGCTCGCTCTTTACCCAGAGCCGTCTTCCCGGCTGGCTCTGTGATCTTATCTGCTAATATTAGCTAACAGAGTACACCTTATATTTCCATACTATTTTAAAGCTTTGTAAATGTACAGGTTTCACAATGGCTCAGGAGGACTGAATTACACAATTCAGAGGCAGAGAACTCATAGTCTCTAGGGACCAGATCAGTCTTATAACCGTGAGTGTAGATCTGTCTAGGTGCGAGACTGTCACAGGCTGTGCCAGTCACCACACGTGGGAGCTGGAGGTGTGGTGTCCTTGAGGTGTATACCAAGTGACCAAAGGAGTCAGTGTGCCTGCCACACCTCTGTCTCCAGGGCTCCTTCTTCATGGTCACAAGCGGGTTCCATTTGGTGTGACTGACAAACCCATGGGGTTGATGTTCCTGATGATTTGTTATGTTCACAGGTCATTGTTTAGTACAAATAAAAGTTATCATCCGTTCGCGCCTCCTGCAGAGCTGGCAGACAGCATCTGCTTAGGCACAGTGCTGAGGCAGACTCGGCCCTGGACCGGGAGGAACTAAGGTCCAGTCTGTTGAGCAGAAAGTGGAGAAACCAAGTCATACCTGGACGCATACAGCACAGGAGCCTAGAGCAGACCCAGCTACTCTCCGGTCCAGTCCAGTCATCCATTCCATGTTTAGTTAAAAGTGCTGGGTGAGCCGGGCGGTGGTGGGGCACGCCTTTAATCCCAGCACTTGGGAGGCAGAGCCAGGCGGATCTCTGTGAGTTTGAGGCCAGCCTGGGCTACCAAGTGAGTTCCAGGACAGGCGCAAAGCTACACAGAGAAACCCTGTCTCGAAAAACAAAAAACAAAAAACAAAAAACAAAAAGTGCTGGGTGAGCTACTTCTTATCTTTGACTTTTTTGATTGAAACAAAAATAGACCTAAAATCGAGATTCCAGAACCATCTATTCTTGCCTGATTTGTATTGATCCTCAAATGTGGCCTTGTTCCCTCTCTCCCTCAATCTGTCACCTTGAGGGATAGCCACTAGACCTTGCTATGGGAGTGGTCTGAGGTGCCATCAATGTCCTTTATTTACTATAATGACTTTGTGTCCCAAGTAGCTTCCATCCAGGATCAGCGCCCCTTTCCCAGGTTTCATGAACTTACCCATTTTGATAGCAGTTAGCAGGTGCCCAGCAGACACAAGAGGCTTATTTTACATGTAAATAATTAAGAAAATGGAGAAAAAAAAAAACACTTGATCAAAGACATTGTTTGATTCTGGGACTCATGAAGCATCAGCCAACAAGGTTCATGAGTGACACACCCCAGACCCTAAACTGTCATGACTCAGCAGTGCAACAATCACAAGTGACAGCCCTGACACTGACTGATCCTTTACATGTTACTTGCCAGTTCAGAAAAATAACTTCCTCACACGAGTCACATGTTGTCTTGCTTCTCCATGGTACTAGGGATGGGAGTTGGGGCCTTGCATGCACATGCTAGGCCAGTGAGCTCCACTGAGCTGGCCTGTAACCCCCACCCCCATCCCTGCCTTCTGTAGTTTTAGTGTGTGTGTGCATGTGCACATGTGTGTTTATGTGTGTATGGGTGTGTATGTGGAGTGCAGAGGTCAACCTTGGGTGTCATTCTTCAGGAGTCACCCAACTGTTTTTGTTTTGTCTTAGGAGGTTTGTTTTTATTTTATGTGCATGTATGTTTGTGCTGCCAGAAGAGGGCGTTGGGTCCTTTGGAACTGAAGTTACAGATGGCTGTGATCTGCCAATATTGGTGCTAGGAATCTAGCTCAGGTATACCCCCTCCCATTTTTATTTCAGTATTATGTGTGTTGTATGTGTATGAGTGTGGCATGCACAGATCATGACACACATGAAGATGTCAGAGGACAGCGTCTAGGAGCTGGTTCTCTCTTTCCATCGTGCCCATGTGGGGTCTCCTCTTCTGCCACTCTGCGTATTCTACACGAACTGACATACTCACAGCGTCTCACCACAGCAGTGCCGCAGTTCAACAGTGTGTGATACGTCTCGCTTTCTGTGTCCCAGAGACTGGTGTTTGAATCTTAGATGGTCTTATAATAAAAAACCCAGAGCAGTATGGTTTTTTACAATAGGCATTAGGTTCTTTAATTGCTCTAGGAAGGGGTTTCTTCCATGATGGCAGGAAAGGACTGAATGGAATTTGTCATGGGGGCCTGCATGAGGCCCCTCGGAGTTTCCCAATGGCAAGGCAAAAGATTACCTTGTCTGTCCCCTATTGATCTACATTCCTTAGTCCAATGTTTGCCTTTGCCACACCTTCTGCATAATCCAGAAGGGAGGGGCATTCTGTTGCCATTGTTCCTTGAAAAAACACTGTTTCTAGGAACGCCCTTGTTTACAATCCCTTTTTTGGTGACATTGTTTACCACAATAAAAACACCTGACATTACTATTTTTCTTCAAACTTCTGGAAATCACCTTTCCTATCCAAGCATCATCATAGTCATGAGATCAACATTCATTGTATCTCAATCCATTCCTCCAAGGGTACTGATCTTACTTTTAATGGCCTAATTATCCTTTTCCATTGTGCATTAGCATTTCAAAAGCCAGAGATTCTATTGTTATCTGTCTAGCTTCTGAATTTGGTATCATTCTATTTACTGCTGAAGACAGCCTTTTTAAGAAATCCGTGAAGGTTTCTTTTGGGCCCTGCATAACTTTAGTAAATGACTCAATTTTCTTTCCTACTTCTTCAATTCTGTCCCAAGCATTCAAAGCTGCCATTCAGCATTAAGCCAGGATGTGGTCATCATATAGAGACTGCCTTTCTACATTAGCATAATTGCCTTCTCCAAGAATTTGATCTTGGGATATTTCAATGCCTCTAGCCTTACTTTGTTGTTCAATGGTCTTGGCCTCATCTTTCTACGAGATCCTCCATTGTAACTGTGGACCAGCTTCTAGAACAGCTGTAACCAAATCTTTCCAGTCTTGAGGAATAATTCTATTATGTTGACCACGAGTTTAACATCTGCTTCACAAATGGGGAATGCATACCATATGAGACTATTGCTTCTTTAAATCTCCTCAAATCTAACATTTGCACTGGAGTCTAGTCAGCTTGTACACAGCCTTGAGCATTTGGCAGTTCCTGTAAGGTTACTGGATAGATTAAGGTTGACTGAAAGCCTTTGGCTGTTTCTCTGTAACTGTATAATGTAATGCTGAGATTGGTTCACTGTTGGGTGCCAGATGTTGTTTCAATCTTTTTTTTTTTTTTTTAATTTATTTATTCATTATGTATACAGTGTTCTGCTTGTGTATATCCCCCTTCAGGCCAGAAGAGGGTGCCAGATCTAATTACAGATGGTTGTGAGCCACCATGTGGTTGCTGGGAATTGAACTCAGGACCTCTGGAAGAACAGCCAGTGCTCTTAACCTCTGAGCCATATCTCCAGCCCCAATGTTTCAATCTTAAGATGGTCTTATAATAAAAAACCCAGAGCCAGATATTGGGGTAAAAGCTGAAAGATCAGAGAAGCAGAGTAAGCCACAGCCACCACCCATTACCTCACCAACTCCACAAATCCTCTGACTGAAATCCTGAATCCTCACCCAAAAGGGTCTCAGCTGAACTTCTTCTTTTTTTTTTTTTTTGGTTTTTCGAGACAGGATTTCTCTGTGTAGCTTTGCGCCTTTCCTGGATCTCGCTCTGTAGACCAGACTGGCCTCGAACTCACAAAGATCTGCCTGCCTCTACCTCCCGAGTGCTGGGATTAAAGGCATGCGCCACCACCGCCCGGCTTCAGCTGAACTTTAGTTCCTGTTTCCTCACATCTTATATACCTTTCTCTGCCCAGTCATGTTACTTCCTGGGATTAAAGGTGTGTGTGCTTCCTAGTATTAGGATTAAAGGTGTGTGCCACCATGCCTGGCTCTGTTTCCAGTGTGGTCTTGAACTCATAGATATCCAGATAGATCTCTGCCT